CTCCTCCGCTGTGCAGGACGGGGCAGCAGCCTGGGCCGCCTCCAAGCTCTGCTCCCTGGCATCGCGGCTGATAGGGGATGAGCGCCTGGGGCGCGGGTGCGGGCTGTGCCCCGGCTCACCCCGGCGGCGGCGGCGGCGCGAACGTGTGCGGCGGCAGGGCTCCGTGCGGAGCCTCTCCCACCGCGGGGGCGGAGGGATGGCTCATTCCTGCCTCACTCCAGGACCTGGCACCGCTGCACGGCTCTCTGGAGCGCCGCGGCGGGCAGTGCGTGCCGGCGAGCCCGGCGCCCGGCTGCAGCCAGCGCCTCCGCGGCGGGGCCGCGCGGCCACCAGGAGCAGCGCACACCGTCGGTGGCACGGAGCCCTCGGTGGCCACGAAGCGCCCCAGCTGCCCTGCGTTTCTCCCCCGGGAGAGGGGGAGCAGCAGCGCTTTGCTCGGAGCCGCCCGGCTTGGAGGGGCGCGCGGCCGCCGGCTCATGGCCGAGCCGGGCCGCCCCACACGCTCCCACCGGGTGCCAGCGGCTCCTGATCCTCTTCTACCTCCCGTGGCCACCACACGGCAGAGCCAGCACCTTCTCCGGGTGCAGAGGCCTGAAGCGAGGAGCGCTGCCAGCTGCGGCCCACACAGCGTGCGGGCGCCCTCGTCCCTCACTCGGGCTTGTTTTCCTGCATGATCCTCAGTTATTTCCCACGCTTCCCTCACCTCTTCCTGACCAGCGCGGCCCCTGACCCCGCTGCCTCCAGCTGCTGACGTGCTGCGAGGAGGCCTGGGGACCCGCGGCACACCAACAAGCTGACAAGCGAGGTCTCGTATCCAGCAGCGGCATTTCCATGCCAGCTTCCCAAGCCTTCCCTCGCTTCCCTGGAGGTCAGGAATGGTGAGGGGCAGGCCCGGCTGCGTGGCCCACTTGGCCCATGCGTGTGCGTTGCTTCCACAACAAGTCCGAGAGAAAAACCCGCCCGCTTCCCAGCCTCGGTCTCTATTTTAAGGCTATGGAAAGGAGGGGGGCGAACGGCAGAGCTGCTGGCAGAGGAGATGATCCCAGGGATTCAGCACCGCCTACTGCTTCCTGCCGGGCTCATGGACCGTGTTGGCATCGCAGAGGTCTGGCCAGGAGTCGGCTTTGCCTGCGGGCGCTCGTGTTGATGCAAGGATGAGCCGCCAGGCGCTTTGCAAGCAGACATAGGTGTGCACGCACCCAAACCCTCCGAATCTCTGCCAGCCTGAGACACCGGGCTGCTCCTCGGGCTGCCCTTGGGCGCCTGCCGGGGAGCCACGTTAGCCTGGCTGAGACAGGCCTAGCAATCCCAGCCCCTTTGCCCTAGTCCATCCAGGGAGTCACGTTGCTCTGTACTAAGAACAACCAGCGTAGGGGACGGTTGTTACCAGGAAAAATGTGTGAAGTCAAGGAAAACATTTGCTCTGGTACCTGCAGAGTCAGCCACAAATTTCAAGCATGCTAAAACTGCCGATGAGTCAGGCGACGTTCGCGTGCTTATCCAGACCCGCAGAGCTGAGTTTTCCAGTTTTTCACATACCTGCTTTTGATCATCAGCTCTCTGTTTGGGTTTTTTGTCTTCTTTTCCTAGAAGCACACATTTTAAACACGCGTTCGGCGCTCGGTTCAGCCCATCATTTTCATTCCTTTAACTTACTAAGTGACCTATTTTCTTCTCTGCAGCACGTAGAAAACACCGGTTTGGATTCCCTTCGCCCTTCAGCATAATCACTTCTATTTCTTTACACCTTTGCCTCTCTGTCTGCACGGTTGTATTTGTGACTGCAGCTGTAACAGCTTCTAACCTGCGGCCTCTCCTACGATTTTTACCTCAGGCCTTTGAACAGGGACCTTCCAAGAAGCAGCCCCATCAGAGCAGAGCTAGGGCTGCTACATCCTCCCCTCGGGACCATGGCTGAGTCCTCCCCATCGCCACCGTGCGCAGCTCTCAGCTGCTCCTCAAAGTCACTTTTGTTCGGAAAGTGGCCGAGGCTCCAGGGACAAGACAGCCCTGCCCGGCTTCTCCCTCATTGTCCATCCAGCCTTGTCAGTAACTGCTCTATTGACAGGCTGCCTTGTTATTCTTGCAAGCCCGCGTCTCTGCTGGCTCCTTCCCTTCATCTGCACCCAGCGTGAGCAGCTCGCTTTTCCTACCCGCGTGTTGCAGACGAGTCCAATTACTAGAGTTCAGCAAACTCTGGTTCCCCTCCCTGGCATTTCATCCAGCCCACTTGATCCGCAGAGAGTTTATAATCCAAACAGCCTCCCAGCACATCATGTTCCAGCGCTCCTGGACTCTCACCCAGCCTCCGCGCTGCCTCCGCCTTAGCCCAGCACTCAAGGGGATGTGGGGATTACAGGCAGCCCCCTGGGAGCCAGCTCTCCTCAGTGCACAATTCCCTGTGTCCAGGGGGAAGGCGATGTCCCCGCAGAGGAAAGGGCCCTCCGGCAGCGCTGCCCAGGGCGGCTGTCTGAGGAGCGGAGCCCGGCTCCGGCTCCCCTGCAGGCCCAGGGAACGTGTGCGCTGCTCCCCTGCTGCCCGGCCGCTCGGCCCCGCTCCGCTCCCCTGCTCACCCACGGCTCCATCCGCACCCGCATCAGCTTCCCCGGGCGCCAGGGCCACACGGCTCCCCATGCCGCACATGCCTTGCACGGGAAGCGGGAGCGGGAGCTGTCCTCGCCATGCGGAGCCGCAGGGTCCCGTGTTTGCCTTGGAGCTCTGCAGAGCCGCAGGCTGTGGCCCCGCTGGGGGCCGAGGGCTCCCCAGGGGCCCAGGGCTGCCCCATGGGCCGTGGCGGGTCCAGGGCTCTGCCCCGCGGGCCGTGGCGGGTCCAGGGCTGCCCCACGGGCCGTGGCGGGTCCAGGGCTCTGCCCCGCGGGCTGTGGCGGGCCCAGGGCTCTGCCCCGCGGGCCGTGGCGGGTCCAGGGCT